CTAATAATTGCCTATTTGTATTATTTGCTGTAATGGCTCTGAAAATCAGGAAAGGATTGAAGGGAACATTGCTTACAGATTCCAAGATATCACTTTCTTCAATGGGTCTATGGAACTAATGGCCGTCCCTAAAAAAGTAAAAAGAAGCTTCATCCTAACAACTTCCTTAACATGACAATTAATTTTGAACACGCTAAAATTACACTTTCATAACCTTTTCAAATTGCTAAAGCAGGTTACTCATCACCAGACTTACTCCAAAGCTATTGCCAATGAATCGCAGGTTATTCGTCACAAGAGGGGGGATACAAAATGGACCAAAGGCATTGAAACCTCAACCTCTGATAAGTACTTTCAATAGTTCATTGCACCCAAACTTGAATGCCCACTGCCATAAAAAAAAAGAACGACAATCCCAGTAAAACCCCACGAAAGTAGGGTTTGGAGAAGGTGATATGTATCCAAAACTCACCCCTACTTGGAAGTATGCCTATAAACTCTCAAACACATTATGTAATTTAGTAGGGTTTGTGGCAGAGTGAAATTACCACACTTGTTCTGTTCTGGCGGGATTCGGCAAGAGGCAGCGCAGTAGAGAGAGAGGATGATGAAATGAGGGAGTAGATGTGCACTATTCATTGCTGAACCAGCACTTTGAGTGAACCATTAGGCATTAGCAAACAGTTCAAAGTCTGATTTTTTTAAAATATTAAAACTACACTTTTTCTTTGAAGATTTGTCATTGGTGTTGTGTTCAAATGGTTTGTTTAGACGAAAAATCTTCAAAGTATTAGCTTTGTTTGACTTGTCATAATGTAAAACAGGTTACATATTTGCAAGATCATCATATTCACTTGAATAAGATGTAAGGTAAGGAATATTAGCACCACAACCTCCTCTTATAATTGGGTCTCGGACTCTGGCTTGGCCCAACAACTAATGACTTCATTTTTAAAAATTTCAGGTCACTTCGGGTTCATACTACTTCATGTTCGGGTCAATGCGGGTTCAAGTAGAGAACTATATGTTCATCACCATTATCATTCGGTCTGGGTCGACCCAACGGGTTAAAACTTTGATTCTAAACAAAATGCTAAAAGTTATTCCATTCTGAGTGATCATTGTTCATGGTTTAGGACATTTTGGTGGCTAATTGATCTTAGTTGTAATTTGGCAGGGAATACATCCCAGGGGCGTGTTTGCAGCCTTGACAGTGTTAGAACATCTATTGCCCAGTGTGCCAGGGTTTGTGGGTTTTGAAAAACAAAAGGTGTGTTCTTTAATATTATTTTTTTTTTCTAAAAAGTGGACTCTTCATTTGACTCATTAGCAAACAGTTCAAAGTCTGATTTTTTTTAAAATATTAAAACTACACTTTTTCTTTGAAGATTTGCCATTGGTGTTGTGTTCAAATGGTTTGTTTAGTTGAATATTTGCAAGATCATCACATCATATTCACTTGTATAAGACGTAAGGTAAGGAATATTAACACCACAGCCTCCTCTTATAATTGGGTCTCGGACTCTGGGTTGGCCCAAAAACTGATGACTTCATTTTTTAAAATTTCAGGTTACTTCGGG